GGACTAATGATTCTAGAGTTGTTGCAGAGTTTGTCAGGTCCAATATTTTTTGCAGGTTTAGAATACCGCGAGCTATCATCAGTGACCAAGGCACTCATTTCTGTAACCGCACCATGGAAGCTTTGCTCCGAAAGTATGGAGTTGTGCACAGAGTCTCTACTGCATATTACCCACAAACTAATGGGCAAGTTGAGATCTCAAATAGGGAGATCAAACAAGTTTTAGAGAAAATGGTGCAACCAAACAGGAAGGACTGGAGCCGTCGTCTAGAAGACGCACTTTGGGCTCAGAGAACAGCTTTCAAGATACCCATTGGGATGTCTCCTTATCGACTTGTTTTTGGTAAGGCATGTCATCTTCCTGTTGAGATAGAACACTGTGCCTATTGGGCGGTGAAAAGTTGTAATTTGGAGATGCAACAAGCAGGTATTGAAAGAAAACTCCAATTACAACAGTTGGAAGAGCTTAGATTAGAGGCTTATAAAAGCTCTGGAATGTATAAAGAAAAAACTAATCACTTCCATGATAAAATGATTTCTAGGAAAGAGTTTTCTGTGGGCCAACAGGTTTTATTGTTTAACTCCCGCCTTAAGCTTATGGCTGGGAAACTTCGATCCAAATGGATTGTCCCCTTTGTTGTTACTAATGTTTTCCCTCATGGTGCAATAGAAATAAAAAGTGCAGGTACTGACAAAGTCTTCAAGGTTAACGGGCAGCGTCTGAAGTTATTCCATGAGAGTTCGGTGCCTGAAGATGTCAGCATAGAGGAGCTTTCTTTGGAAGCGCCCAACTACACTGCAGCTTGACCAGGGAGCACCTTTTCCTTTCTCTCACTCTTACTTTACAATTGAGTCCTTTTTCATTGAGGGCAATGTATGTCTTAAGTGTGGGGGAGGGAACCTTTTGCTTTTGTTTGTTTGTTTTCATTGAATAAAATAAAATGAAATTGCATGTTTTCTTGTTGGTTATTCTGCTACATCTGTGAATATTCTCTCTATCTTGGTCGAAAGACTTGTGGTATGATATGATTTATATTTTTATGCATTTTTTAGTATATATGTCTGACTAAAATCTAAATTGTACATCATTAGTGATAGATCACTAACCCTTGTGAGACTTTGAGCCTAATAATGGATAACACATAAAAAATGCATTCTTTTCTTTCTTGTGTGATTTCACTCATGTTTGTTTGTCTCTATAACTTGAATTGACTCTTGTTGAAGCTGTTTGGTTACTTGTGCACACTGACATGATAAAGGCAATTTTGTTTTCTTTTTTAACCAGTTAGCCAAAAGGCCAACCTTAACAATATTTTCCCTTTGTTTGTAAACCCCTTTGAGCCTATTATCCTTTTTTTTTGTGTTTAAAACTCATTACAAGCCGAAAAGTGAAAAACAATATTATCACCCTATTCAAGGGGTTGGAAAAGTCTTGTATGGAGTTGTTTGGGGTTGAACATTTTGTTTATACTGTTATTATGGTGTTATTATGATGTTGGTAGAAAAAAAAATAGAAAAAGAAAAAAAATGAAAAATGAAAAAAATAGAGAAAGTTGTCAATATTAATCCTTCTGGAAAAAAAAGAAGAAGAAAGAAAGAAAAAAAAGAGAATAAAAGGAAAAAGAGAAGAGAAATAAGTTGTGAGTTTGTTGTTCAATAGAATTTCCCGTTGAGATATTTTGTAGTTCAACTCCTGCAATCCTTCAATCCTCTTTTAACTCTTTGAATTTTAGCTTAGTACCCCTTATGATATATCTCACCCTGACCTTGGCCAAATTACAACCTTAATAAAAGTCCTTTTGATCTTTGTGTGCAATGTATTTCAATGGTGAATGTTAGAGTCTTTTCAAGCTTATGGTAGTACTACTTTCATGTTGTGCTTTGAGTGTAAACAGTAACCTAAACACTTGAGAGTTGAGTGGAAACAGTTTATCTTGTGAGGGTCTTGATACTTTTGATTTACTTTTTGGTGATCTGTTTTTCATACTTACTTTGAATGTCACAGTTGAATTTCTCACTAATGCCATGTCTTGAAGCTTAGACTTAGAGGTGTGTTTGCATCTTGTATCGTGATAACTTTTGAGTTTGCATGCTTTGTTTCATTTTTGTTTTGAAGTTTCTTTGTTTTGATGTGTTTTATTTTAATTTTGCTCGGAGTGCAAAAGTTCAAGTCCGGGGAAATTTGATCAGTGCATATTTATGCACATTCTCCTACATTTTTACTTAGGCATTTCTTTATTTTATTTTGCTTATTATTATATTTTATTATGTTTTCATATTTTATTTTATTTTTGGTTTAATTTAATTTTCGCACTTATTTTTCAGCTTTAGCAGTCTGCACGGAAACGATCATAACTGGAGTTCCGGGAACCCGTTTGAGGAGTTCTAAAAATCGCCGGAAAGCTAAGAGAGAGAGCTACAACTTTCATGTTGGAGTCGAAGTCAGATTCGGAGCCCAAAATTCCAGAATTCCGTTTGAAGTTACTGCATTCGAATTTTATTTTAGTGTTGGGTCATGTATTGGGCCTGGGTTATACTTTCGACCCAGTTGGGTTATGAATTTCGTTTATAAGAAACTCGTTTTTACTATTCATCATTTTATTCATACATTTTCACAAAAAATACATTTGGAGCTTTGAGAGAACCATGGAGAGCTAATTCCTTAGAGTCATTCTGCTGTAATCGCGTTCCAACGCTTTGAGGTTTTTACTTTATCAATTTAATTTGTTTCTCTTTCAACACTATTCTATGAATTTCTTTTGCTTAATCTGTTAGTTTATAGAATTGTTTTGATTAAATTCGTGTGATTTCATCCTTAACTTTTATTCGCCGTTACGTCGCTTTGTCGTTAATTCGTGTTTGCTTAATTCACGAAAATTTAATCCGTTTGCTTAATTCAGAATATAGGATTGTCAATCTAGTTTATGTCTTTTGCGCTTGTTAATTGACATAGGAATCAAATAGAGATCGAAATCGCTTAGGAAATTGGTAAGGTAGAAACCCGTGATAAGCCGGAACCGAATACAGTAGATTGACTTATTTTGATAATCACTTATTTTAACCGCTTAATTACATTTTCTTTATTTAATCGATCAGAAACCAAATCAACTCCCCCCATTTCGAATTCGGTAGATTAATCATATACAAGAATCCTTGAGACGATATCCGAGTTGAATTGTCGCTGTATTACGTTTTCATCAAAAACACTCGTTTTAATCCGCGCGCGACAGTGGATCAATGCTCAACATACAAATATATTACCTCACAACCATCACCATATTTAACTAGTTGTAATACGTCATCATCATAGTTAAGTTTTCAAAGGCCACGACTAAAACTATACTTAGGGTTCCAATACATAATACACATAATGTCTATATACCCCTTTTTTAATCAATTCCAACAATTCAAAATACGACAGATAGTCAACATCCCATTTCCAATTCATTTTTGAAATTAGCACAACAACATACAATTTGACAAGGGTGTCCATAAAGTATTTTATATGATTAATTCTAAACCTAATTTTTGAGATTGGAATGTCCTGGAATACATAATTAATACAAGTTAGAATGAGACATACAAACAATGGGACCACAAGCCCTAAACGACAAAGAAACACAAACCCTAAAACAAAATGGGACCCCCATGTACAGAGGAACACATATCATAAAATGAAAACAAAATGCTTCTATCACGGGGGACGGAACAATACATACCTGAGACAAAACTTTCCACCTTCATTGCTTTTCTCTGTTGATGAAGAAATTTTGTCCATCGCTGCTTCTGAATCGAGATGAAGGATGGTTACAGAGAGCGATTGAGTATGCTGAAATCAGGATTGGGGGCAAATCAAAATTAGGGTTCTTCACAATTTTTGGACTAGGGTTATTCATAATTTATGGGCTAGGGTTCTTTTATAATTTGGGAAAAATGTTTCAGGAATGATCTGAATCAAGTTTGAGGTACGAATAAATATTGTTTTGTTTTAATTATTTTCTAAAATTCTTATTATAAATAAAATATAAAATGTTTAAATGACATGACACTTTTATTCTAGTTTGGGTAAACATTTCATTTGTCACATAACATGCCACATAGACCAATCTGAACAAGCGGACAAAAAAAATCCTAAGAAAATTCAAACTAAATGACTAAAAGCTTTTTTTTTAAGGGATTAAAAGTTTAGATAAATGAAAGAAGAAGAACCAAAAATGTATTTAAGTAAAAATTTAATTGATATGCATCAATGATTAATTAGAATACTTTATTAGTGTAAAACCATTTTACACACTTAAAACGATTCAATTATAAGGATAATGTTAACTTTGTGCCCTAAGGGCACATGTTAAGAACTAAATGTAGAAATATTTTCTTGAAAGTTGTATTTTGTTTTTATCAAAAATTTATATTTAATTCTTTTATTACTTTTTCTGATAGAAATTTTCTATTTATAGATTTATTAAAATGTGTCTTTAGGGCACAAGTTAGCATTACCCTAATTATAATATATTTATATATTATTTTTAATTTCATAATTATGTATTAAAATAATTAATTTTAATCGAATAATAATATAAAATAATTGTAATGTCCAATGAAATATTTTACATCCAACTGCATAGCAATTAATCTTTTTAACTAATATTATATTTTTGTTATAAATTTAGTATAATCGTATTTATGTTAAATGCAATAGGATATTAAAGTGGAAAACTTGAGTAATTTAAGTTGCAAAATAATTAGAAAATAAGTAATTAACATTATCTTAAAATAAATGAAAAAAAGTGAGATATTTTGGGAGAGAAATATTATCACACACCATTTAAAATTTAAATAAACTCAATAAAGAAACAATACTACAGTGAACGCACAGAAAATGCAAAACCCTCATTTCATTTATTACAATTCACACAAAGTTTTTCTTCTCTTCACTGAAAGTCTGAAACACTCGCTCATTTCTGAAATCTCACTGCTTTCAGTTTTAGGGTTCGATCCTCAATGGCGGCTCCACCACACCGTTCCTCCAAAACCGAATCCTACACCGACAACAAACGCAAAGATGACGTCCGCCAATCCAACATCATCGCCGCACGTTCCGTCGCCAACGCCGTTCGCACCAGTCTCGGTCCCAAAGGTATGGACAAAATGATTTCCACTTCTTCCAATGAGGTTATCATCACCAACGACGGCGCCACCATTCTCCACAAGATGCAAGTCCTCCAACCCGCCGCTAAGATGCTCGTCGAACTCTCCAAATCTCAAGACTCTGCCGCGGGTGACGGTACCACCACCGTCGTCGTCATCGCCGGCGCACTTCTGGAAAAGTGTCTTCTCCTTCTCTCTCATGGAATCCACCCTACCGTGATCTCCGATGCGCTTCATAAAGCTTCCGTCAAGGCTGTTGATATCCTCACTGCCATGGCTGTCCCGGTCGAACTCTCCGACCGTGAATCTCTTGTCAAATCCGCGAGCACTTCGCTTAACAGCAAGGTTGTTAGTCAGTACTCTTCGCTCCTCGCTCCCATCGCCGTCGACTCGGTTCTCTCCGTTGTGGATTCTGATAAACCTAACATGGTCGATCTCCGTGATGTCAAGATCGTGAAGAAGCTTGGTGGGACTGTTGATGATACCGAGCTTGTGAAGGGTTTGGTGTTTGATAAGAAAGTTAGCCATGCTGCCGGTGGACCTACTCGTATGGAGAATGCGAAGATTGCTGTGATTCAGTTTCAGATTTCGCCTCCGAAGACTGATATTGAACAGAGTATTGTGGTGAGTGATTATTCCCAGATGGATAGGATTTTGAAGGAAGAGAGGAGTTATATTTTGGGTATGATTAAGAAGATTAAAGCAACTGGTTGTAATGTGTTGTTGATTCAGAAGAGTATTTTGAGAGATGCTGTTACTGATTTGTCTCTACATTACCTTGCTAAAGCTAAGATTTTGGTGATTAAGGATGTTGAACGCGATGAGATTGAGTTCATTACCAAGACTCTTAATTGTTTGCCTATTGCTAATATTGAGCATTTTCGTGTTGAGAAGTTGGGTTATGCCGATCTTGTGGAGGAGCTTTCTCTTGGGGATGGGAAGATTGTGAAGATTTCAGGGATTAAGGATATGGGAAAGACCACGACTGTGCTTGTTCGTGGATCCAATGTGCTTGTGCTTGATGAGGCAGAGAGGAGTCTGCACGATGCTTTGTGTGTTGTAAGGTGTTTGGTTGCGAAGAGGTTTTTGATAGCTGGTGGTGGTGCGCCGGAGATAGAGTTGTCTAGGCAATTGGGTGCTTGGGCGAAGGTGTTGCATGGAATGGAGGGTTACTGCATTCGGGCATTTGCTGAGGCGCTTGAAGTTATTCCTTATACTTTGGCTGAGAATGCTGGTTTGAATCCAATTGCGATTGTTACTGAGCTGAGGAATCGTCATGCACAGGGTGAGATAAATGCTGGAATCAATGTTAGGAAAGGTCAAATTACGAATATCCTTGAAGAGAATGTGGTGCAGCCACTGCTTGTAAGCACAAGTGCTATAACCTTGGCAACAGAGTGCGTGCGGATGATTTTGAAGATTGATGATATTGTGACCGTGAGGTAGAGTTTGATGGAAAGTGATGGGAAATCGGAGAAAACTGAATTGTAATATGTCTTTCATACGTGCTTATTTTAAGTTGGTAGTTTATGTTGTTTGTAGTGAATTTGGTTAATCGATTTTGACTCTGGCTGCTGTGTTTATTTCTAAATTTGGGTGCCTTTGTGGATTGTGACACTAACTGCAGTTATCAGAAGGACTTTGTATTGTGAGTTTCAACAGTTGATTATTTGGCTGTGTTTATGTATTAACCTTGTATTCTGGAGTTGAATGAGTTGTTCTTGGAGTTGTATGGTTGAATTATGCTGTTAGGATGTTGGTGGAAGCATCACAAGGCTTGAAATGGAAACTGTAATTTTTATGTATCTTTTTAGTATTTATAAAAACTGGTAGAGATGTTTTTGTGAAATTAGAGGAGGTTGGAAACTAGTTATGTTGGGGACTACTCCTATTGATATTCCATTGGTTGCTGAGTTAGGATGCATCCTAGTGGCATTATTGTTATTATTTGGCATGAAGTAGAACTCATCTTTCTATAGCTGCCCATGTAAAAATGAATGAATATATCAAAATGATTTAAATATTTTATAGAATTGTAATTTAATAAAACTCATCTTTCTAGAGCTGGCCAGGGATGAATATATCAAAATGATATAGATATGTTTCTAGAATTGGAATTTCTAATTGGTCTCAAAGCATTAATGTGTTCATATCCTGTATAATTTCAGAAATACATGTCAGTTTGTAATATAAAACTCAAGGATTAATCTTCAATAATAAACAATACATTAAACTTTTCCATGAACATCTAGAAAACCAAACTAATTGTTTGTTAAACAATTTGTAACACTGAACACGACGAAATTCATAAATACACAATTAAATAGTTATTGGTCAATAGAATTGGAAGCATTAGAATTTCTTAATTCACCCCCTTAATATTTTTAGCTACCTAGTACATTCTTTTTATGCTCTCTGTCTTCGGAGCTGTATCTTCAGACGCACCTTTTTTTATTTATTTTTAATGTTGGATATTTTTGGAGACATACCTAGAAAAAAAGTTCCATAAATACATCTCTGAAATCTTACCAAAATAGATTTTTTTAGAAAAAAAAATCTTATTTTGTTGGTTGCAGATGAATATAAAATAGCATACATTCGTAAATAAAATAATATGATATATAAGTCATATGTCATAAACATCATAAAAAAATAGTACATCAATGTTATCAAAATATAGTACATCAAAAAAAACACCACAATCACTACTATGTGTGCTTGACATTATCTCCATCATCTCCTCTGTCTATGCCTCTGCCGCCTCAGCTGGATCACCATCTGTCTGTCGTGCAGCAGCGAGCGCCTCACAATCTACGCGTCAGAAAGGAGAACCTCACATGAGCCCCTCTGGTCTTATCCACCTCCTCAAGCGTATACAGTGGATCAACCCCAAGCTCCTCCCCACCAACATCTCTCTCGCATCCTCCTTTGTCATCCTACCATGACGGAGGAGGGTACCCCTGATCGGTATATGTAACAGACAAGAGTGTCGTCCAGTGTAATCGTGGTCTCGTCGTGCGGTAGATGGAAGAAGGACGTCTTAAGGTGTCATCTCTCTGTAAAGCCCATCAACATCCGTTGTGGATCAGGCCGTAACCGATCTCACAAAGGTCATTCAAATCAGAGGCGACAAGGACTTCCTGGAACCAAGCCTCATGTGGCTGATCCAAAGCTAATATCTTTTGCCCATGGTTATAGAACTTGTGCGGAGGACGAGTCTGAAAATGTTCATAATTAAGAAACTATGTTAATAAGAAACAATGGTACAAATTATAAATTTCCAACGGAAAAAAGAAACAATTTGAGTAATGTTACCTTTCCATCCCAGACATGTCTGGCAGTATGGTCAGCGTACCCTGTCAGCAGGACATATCTGAGTGACCCCCTGGAAAACTCTCAGGCTCATCATCGTCGTCACCAGCATTCTCCGGTGGTGGGTCATCACCCTCTGAAGGTGGCACCAGATCAATATCATCGACAGGAGGAGGAATATGAGTATCCTAACGAGGCATGCGGGAGGACGGGGCTTGTGATGAACCCTCAGTTGAATCCCGACGCCTCCGGGATAAAGAAGTGGATGATGGGGTGGGATACGAGGCCGAGGGAGTGTCATAGGCATGTGATAAAGAAGGTTGTGCAGTAGGCTGTGTCTCAGTTGTAGCCATGTTGGAATAGATGTATCAACCTCGGTAACGGTCTGCCGCTCGCGTCTGATAGATGCATGTTGTGAAATCCATCTAAGTCACAACCTATCGTCTCTGTCTGCCATTATGTCTGCAAGGTATAACCAAGAAAAAACCAATTAGATACAAATAAATTAAAATTTTTTTTTTTTTTACTTCCGGATATGTACACACAGAAAACTTCTGTAGATGTATCTATGGAAGTACCCATATATCACGACGTTTGATTTGATCCAGAGCTGCATCTACGGAATTGCGCTAACGTTAATTTGTTTTGTAGATGTAACTCCGAAACTTTCTGCAACTCCAACATGTTGCACCCTAATTTTTGACCGTAAAATGCCACCTATTTTTTTACGCATTTTTCTCTCGTTATTTGACTTTATTTTAATATTTATGCGACTAACCAATTTGTGCAGACGCAGTAATATCGAGTAGAGATGGCGTTCCTCATAGGCGATCATTACGCATATCTGACCGTTTAACCCCGCTTGTTCGTTTTGATTTGTGAAAGGTTGGATTACTGCTGGAAGTTTAGGGAATCACGAAGTGATACACATAAGGGCTTATTATTCGAAGATTGAGTTTTATGCCATTACAATTACCCCATAGTTCATCAATTTGAGAGGATCAAATCAATCCCTGTCTTGAATACCAACTGGTTCTACTTTGTTATTTTGTATGGGTGTTTGAACGAGGTTTGTTCTACATGGTGATTCAATTTATGACGAAGACGAAAGTGCAGAGGAAGTAAGGATTCATGGGCACATCATCCAAGCGCAGTCAGATGGGGGGTTTATAAGCCAATTTCACAATTAAAAAACAAATTAAGGCTTCTGTCTCCAAGTATCCCGGTTCAAAGATTTTCTTGTGTTCTTGTAATATAAGTCGTTCGTGCCTTTTAAGGTTCAATTTGAATATTATTACGAGTGGACCCTTGGGTTCAGTTCAATTGAGACCATATTCCATGAGGTTTATACCTTGAATTAAGTTCAAATGTTGTGACTTGTTTCAAGAACTAATTGGTGAACTATAAAAGGCATGCCTCTCGAAGTCATTTCCCACTTTAGGAACCAAGTCTTTGAACGAGATCAGGCCACGTTCAGTTTAGTTCTTTGAGCCTTTGAATTATAAGCTTAAATTGCATCTGATACAAGGAGTTAAGGTTTTAGTACAACATTCACAAGAAAACTACAATAAGCGCAGGGCCTAAACTTTCGCTTGTTCCAAATACTCTCAAGAATACACATTCATTCCAAATAATGAAGGATGTTTGTTACAACACGAAAGATCCACATATGCATATATGTGGTTACAAGGATTTGGTTACATTACTTGACATCGACACCACACTTTGATGATATAACTAATGACTAATACAAGGTAATCAAAGTTCAAACTTGATGCCGCTACAGTATCCATTGACGTATGATCATCCAAGCAATGATGTTCACTCGGTGGCTGCCTACACCGGCCTTACCTCCAGAATTGGGATTTTAAAACAGGCAGGGGATTTTGCCACCAATTTGATTACTCCACTTCCTGCGAAATCACAACAGCCAGCTAGTCCTTGTGTTACAACTTTAACTCATAATATAATTTTCTCCAAGATAAAGACTTCATAGATCAGGATGAAACCAGCATACCTTCACATAACCTTCAACATTGCAGCCTCTTGAGTTTTGTGTTACCATAGCTAGCGAATTGCATTTTTACTGAAGAAAAGCTGATACGCAGTACCTACTAAACCTGCATCAACAACAAGGGCAACCTGTTATGAAGAGCATATGGCTCCCCTGATGATGACTACTTGATTCTATGCTTTAGTTTTGATGTTTCTATACGTGATCAACAAGCCATGGCTTTGAGGAGGTTTTGAATTTCTACAGAAAGTTTGTTCCAAACTCTACCAGTGCATCAACTCTATCAGTGCAGTTTTTTTTAAAGGTGGAAATCAAAATAAACTATGGAACAAATGGGAAGGAGGTGACTGTACTCACCAAAGATCAGCATGGTCCTTATTTCATCACCTCACTATGTATCATCTTTCAGTGCCTGCAATAAACATGATATTGACAACAGCAGCTGCCCAAAGCTCCAAAACGCTCCTACTGCCCCAATCATCCATTTCATAGCAACTCTAGGCCTGCGTAGGAAGGATCACAAAAAGGTAAACATCGCTTGTTGGGTATGAAGCATTATAGTAAAGAAAAGTGGAATAAACGTACCATACTGTCAGGAGTTGGACCATCTACATCTGAAAAGCACATTTACTCCCGTCTTCTGAAAGTGAACCAACTCAGCCTCCGCATATACCTGTAGACCACATTAAATTTAGTGATGCACCTCTGATGGAAAATGATGCCGAAAGAGAGTTTAAGAAGAGGACAAATCAGAACTTCGGTGTTCTTGCATCAGTTACGAAAGTAGAAAATATGTCCCAGTGATTAGTGGCAAATGAATTTAAGGCTAAGACAATCTTTTAGTCTACAAGATGATATAGGAGATCAAATGCATATTAAGTGTCATGAGAATACTCACTCAGGTCTCTTGAAGACGCCGTCTCCTCCGATGTTGTCTAACGTATCCTGCAACCAAGTGAAATTGACGTCATCATTCATAATTACCACAATGACAAGGCCGTGCGACAACAGCGCCCTAAAGGCATTCAATCTACTCATCAAGATTAGTTTGAAAGTATAAGGCGATACTACGTATTCAATTACCGAAATCTCAAACCACGAGTCACTTGTTGAAGAACCA